TCAGGTGCTGGGAATACAGCAATAAGCAAGACAGACAAAAAAATCTGCCCACATAAAGTTTACAAGAGGAAGAATTTATGAAAGAGGAAGATACCCAATGTATTAGGTTGGTGCAAAAGTAATTGCGGTTTCACCATCGAAAGTAGTGGTAAAAATCTTTGCCCCGGAAAACCTAATATATGTGAGCAAAATACATAGTATGTTAGATTGTGGGAAGTACTACGGGAAAAATTAAAGGAGGATAAGGAGGATTTGGGAGGATAGGGGACACAGTTTTTGAGGGTGTCCTAGGAAGGCCTCATTGAGGAGGTAACATTTGAGTATAGACCACATCTGGTCCCCTCTTCTTAGCCTATGAGCTGAGAATGGTTGTTACAGAACATTTGTGGCTGGGTCTGGTGGCTTATGCCTGTAATCTCAACACTTTGGGAGGCTGAGGCAGGAAGATTGCTTGAGCCTAGGAGTTTGAGATCAGCCTGGGCAACATAGCAAAACCCCACCTCTACAAAAATAAATAAATAAATAAGTAAAATTAGCCAGATAGGGCCAGTTCCTCCTGGATGCCAAGAGGAGGATTTGTTTCCTTGATTTTTATAGATTTTAGAGGTCACCATCATTCCTTAGCTTCTGGTCCCCTTCTTCCATCTTCAAAGCCAGCAGTGTTACATCTCTCTGACCGTTTGGTGTCCTATCTCCCTGTGAAAATTCTCCACTTTTGGGGACTCATGTGATTAGACTGGGCTCTTCCAGATAATCCAGGGTAATATCCCCATTTCAAGGTCCTGCACCTGAATCACATCTATAAATTTCCTTTTACAATGTAAAGTAACATATTCACAGATTTTGGGTACACGAACATGTATCTGTCAAACAGATTCAAAATACCTACTTTTACTTCTTTTGGGTATACACCTAGAATTGAAAATTACTGGGTGATATGGTAATTCTATGTTTAACTTTTTGAGGAATTGTCATACTGTTTTCCACAGTCACTGCACCATTTGACATTCCTACCAGCAAGGCATGGCATTCCAATTTCTTCATGTCCTCTCCAATACATGTTATTTTCTGTTCTGTTCATTTCTTTTTAATTAACCATCTTGGTGGGTATGAAGTGTTATCTCACTTTGGTTTTGATTTGCATTACCCTAATGATTGAGTATCTCAATGTTGAGCATCTTTTCATGTGCTCACTGGCCATTATTTATATTCTTTGGAGAAGAAGTTTATTTACAAATTTATTTGCCCATTTAAAATAGAATTGTCGTTTTGTTTTCGAGTAATAGGAGTTCTTTATATATTCTGGATATTAATCCCTTATCAGGTATATGATTTGAAAATATTTCTCCCATTCTGTGGGGTATCTTTTTACTCTCTTGATAGTGTCCTTCATAGCACAAGGCTACCAATTTTTATTTAAAAAGTTTGTCTATTTTTTTCTTTTGTGCCGGTGCTTTTGGTGTCATATCCAAGAAATCATTGCCAAATCCAACATCATGAAGACATTCTCCTATGTTTTCTTCTAAGAGTTTTATAGTTTAATTCATACATGGGGTTTTTGATACATTTTGGGTTAATTTTTATATATGATGTAAGGTAAAGGTCTACCTTTATTCTTTTGCTTATAGATATCCATTTTTCCCAGCACTATTTTTTGGAAAGACTGTCCTCTCTCCATTGAATGCTCTTGGCATCCTTGTTGAAAATCACTTGACCATATATGAGAGGGTTTATTTCTGGGTTCTCTATTCCATTGGTCTGTATGTCTGTCATTATGCCAATACTATGCTGTTTTAATTAGTATAGCTTTGTAGTAAATTTTCAAATCAGAAAGTGTGAGTCTTCCAATTTTGTTCTCTTTTTCAAGATTGTTTTAGCTATTAGGGGTGCTTGGGATGCTGGATGAATTTTAGAATGGTTTTTCTATATCTGCCAACAAAAATCATTGGGGTTTTGATAGGGATTGCATTGAGCTACTTTGGATAATATTGTCACCGTAATAATATTAAGTCTTGCATTCCAATTTTCATGCATCACTCATTTGTTGGTGGTTGTAGGTAAGCTCCTTTAGTCAGTTTTACTTCCAGTATTTACCACTGGATGTGTGTGTGTGACTGGGAGACTGCTTCACAGTTTAGAGAATTTACTATTTCTCCACATGTTCAGCCAGAGAGGCAGAGGTTGCAGTGAGCTAAGATTGCATCACTGCACTCCAGCCTGGGCAAGAGACAGAGACCCTGTCTCAAAACAATAAAAATAAAAAATAAAAAAAAGAAAAGATGAAGTGTGTAAAATATCATTATGGCTCACCATTAACAGAAAATATGCAATTGATTTTGACAATAGAGAACATTAACTTGAACCCCAATAAGTAAAATGTTATACTCCCCTTAAAACAATGTTATACCTCTCATTAGTAGATCTGAATTAGCAAATATTATATGCAATTAGTATTATGACTATAATTTTGTGGGAAAATTATCTTGTTGCTATATAAAAACCTACATAATATCCTCTGTTTTGCCTTATGGTCTGCAAATCCTAAAATGTTTGCTATCTGGTCCTTTGCAGAAAACTTTTGTTGACCTGTGCACTAGAGTCTACAGATACATCCATCATAGTGTTTTTAACCCCTGGTGTAATAGTTCCAAAATCTATGTCACAGCTGAGTCTGGTTTTGTTGATTGGTTTGTCTCTTGATAATGTGTTATTTTTTGTTTCATTATGTGTCTTGTAATTTTTGGTTGAAAGCTAAAGCCTTCCTGTGAAGGCTAGTGGAGACTTGGGTAAACACTATTTATGTCCAGAAATGGACATGCCTTTTCTTTAAGGAGGAGGCATTGAGACAATGTATCAGGTTTTGTTGTTAGTATGGTTACTCTCAAAAAGTACATAATTCAAATTCTTCCAGTATTATTTTTTTGCTTAGAGTGGTGGCTGGTTTGTTGGAGAGTTTTTCTCAGTGTCTGTTCAAATCACAGTCATTGGTCTTCTCTTTGTGCCTATGTCTAAGAGAGGATATCTTTCTGTGCTTTTATTCTCACTCTTCCAGCAGCAGACAGCTATTACTTGTTCCTGGACACTTGCTATCCTGGTAATGGGGGCTTTCTTTATTGTTCTGGCTCAGCCTCACTCTTAGGCAAGTGCTATGTTCTTGGCTCTTAGTCATGGGGCCTTCTAAGTGACCTTGCCCCTCTCCCAGAATAGATAATCTTTAAAGGTTTGGAGCAGCACAGTTTCCTACTTCTCCCGGAGAAATAAGAGGATATTTAATGTTATGTTCACGCAGCTATAATAGGCTTTTATCTGTGCCCTGGAAGTGACATTTTTATGCCCCCTCTGAACCCCTGGTGGCAAAGGGTTGGTGTATTTGTGTGTGCATGTGTGTGTGTTTGTGGTAGTGGTAGTGTTAGTGGTGGTGGTAGAGTTGCTGGGAAACAGAGTAGAGGATCCAGGCCAGATGTCATGCCTTTCCCACAGTGGCTTCTGCTCACCTCCCCAAAGACTGCACCGTGGGCAAGGCTTTCTTTGGTCTCTTGCCCTGCCTCTAATCTTTCTCTTGAAGACCTGGTGGAAGTTTGTGGAGAAGTGCCTATAAGTAGATGCAAATTTGCTTTGTGTTTGCGGCTCTCACAGGTTCTAAAGTCTCACTCTAGGCCGCACTCTGCTTTTCATAGTTCATTAAAAGATAACAGGCTGCCACAATAGATGTTACTGTGGAAATGAAAGATATAAGGATTGTGGGGAAGACTGGTTACTTATTACTACACGAAAATTTTAAAGAAGGCAAATGGCAATCTTGAATTTTAGTTTCTTGGATTAAAAGCTTCTATGATTTCCTGAAATAACTTCATATTCCTTGTCACTACAGGATTGATGTAGTTGAAAATAAAATGTAGTATCTCATCTTTTGGGTTGCTGAATTTCAACATAAATGGAATTAACAGCTTCATTATAATTCTTACATAAAAGTCAGGGCATTGATTGGGAGAGTGAGACCATGAAAATTTAAATGAGGCACATTTGGATAGATTTAGGACATCTGACTCCCAGCCACATTGAACCTCCCTTGCTAACAGAAGCAGTGCATCCTCTGTTTTGACAAGGGTGATCCTCTCTACTCTAGAGCTACTGTATTGACTTCAACTGAGGAAGTTATAGGATAAGGGCATGCCAGTTCCATACCTACCTCTAGTAGGTCCAAAGATCTACTGCCTCTAGACCCATACCACTTCAGCAAATCTTTACTGCCTCTAGACCTAATAAGTACAGTCAGATCCCAGCATGCTCTGGAAGGACAGATACAAAGTATAACCCAGGGGGAGAAGGCTTCCTTACAAAAAGAACTGCAAGATTTTGCTAACTTTCATGGGAAAGAACTTGGGAGATATGTATAGGATTGGTTTCTGCAGACTCTTGATTAGCGAGGCTTGGGCCCAAATTTACCAGGAGTACATTTACCAGAAATTCTGAATTCAGTTTGCTGGTGTCTGTTTGTAGATACCAAACAGGCAGGTGAAAGTGACTCTACATCAAGCTAGTCCAACCTGCAGCCCATGGGCCACATACAGCCCAGGACAGCTTTAAATGTGGCCCAAGAAAAACTTATAAACTTTCTTAAAACATTATTTTTTTTGTGATTTTTTTAAAGCTCATCAGCTATCATAAGTGTTAACATATTTTGTGTGTGGTCCAAGACAATTCTTCTTCCAGTGTGGCCCAGGAAAGTCAGAAGATTGGACACCCTTGCTTTACATGTTTACTTGTTTATTTTTATTTTTGAGACAGAGTCCTGCTCTGTCATCCAGGCTGCAGTGTAGTGGTGCGATCATGGCTCACTGCAGCCCGGAACCCCTGGACTGAAGGGATCCTCCCACCTTAGCCTCCTGAGTAGCTAGGACAACAGGCACAGGCTACCATGTCCAACTAATCTTTTTATATTTTGTAGGGACAGGGTTTCTCCATGTTGCCCAGGCTGGATATGGGTTCGTGACTCATGGGCTCAGGCAGTCCTCCTGTGTTGGCCTCTCAAAGTGCTGGGATTACAGGTGTGAGCCACCGCACCTGGCTGCTACTTGGTTGTTTTAAACCTGAACTCAGTGGTGGCCCACACTTGGCTACCAAGTGTGATATGTCAGAAATTCCTTGTTTGTGGGCGGCAAGCCACCCAGGTGCCGAGGCAAGAGACTGAAGGCACAAGCTATTCCAGTATAATAAAGAAAATAATTAAATTAAGAAAAGTTATACTGGAAATAGGATATAGATATAATTATTATTAATCATTAGTTTGTAGTATTACTTTTTGTTCTATTATTATTATAATCTCTGTTTTATAATTATAACCTAGAAAAAACCAGGCCATACAGAATTAGGAGCTGAAGGGACACTGTGAGAGATGACTAGAAGACAAGAGTGTGAGCTCTCTGTCATGCCCAGATAAGGGCCGCTTGAGAGCTCCTTGGTCTAGCGGTAGCGCCAGTGCCTGGGAAGGCACCCGTTACTTAGCAGACCAGGAAAGGGAGTCTCCCTTTTTCTGGAGGAGTTAGAGAACACTCTGCTCTACCAGCTCTTGTGGGAGGCCTGACATTGGCCAGGCCTGCCCACAGTCATCTGGAGGCGTAAACATCTCCCTGTGGTGCTGTGCCTCTATGGTCATGCTCCGTGTCCACTTTCATGTTCCACCTGTACACCTGGCTCCTCCTTTTAAGTTCTTAGAAGATAGCAGTAGCAAAATTAGTGAAAGTATTAAAGTCTTTGATCTTTCTGATAAGTGCATAGAAGAAATGCTGATGTATGCTGCCTTTCCTCTCTGCCTTGGCTACCACAAAGGGAAAGGCCCCCTGTCCGGTGGACACGTGACTTGCGTGACCTTATCAATCTTTTGAGACGACTCGTACTCCTTACCCTGCCCCCTTGCCTTGAATACAATAAATAGCAGCGAGTCCAGGCCACTACAGGTCTTGGTGGTAGTGGTCCCCTGGGGCCTAGCTGTTTTTCTTTCTGTCTCTGTCTTATGTCGTTATATCTACGATCTCTCGTCTCCACACATGAGGAGAAAAACCCACAGGCCCTGTAGGGCTGGTCCCTACACTTGTTCAGTGTAGAGAGAGAGTTAGAGAGAGGGGAATATTGGGATGGATTCATGATGTATGACCTGCTCGCCCACTCCCCTGAGCTCCAAGAGGGCCTTAGAGAATACCCCCTTCACCAAGACTTAGAACAATAAATTGGTGAGGAGAGCACTGGCATCCTTGGAAAACACTGTCATGGTTGTCCACTTTTGGACAGGAAAAAGTGGAACATACAGCAATTCAAAAGCTGTTATTGTTGTTGTTTTTCCTCCAACTTCAACAAAGATGAAGCCAGGAGAGGCAGAGGCTTGGTAGTAGGTCTTGGGCAGCAGACAAAAGGATGAGCTACCAGAACAGACAGAATAGACATTAGGGACACAGAGCTCATAAGAGTGGATTGACCTGCGGGCTGTTTATAAGATGTCCCTGCGACTGAAACAGAAGAGCAGCCCACTCCTCTGTCTAGCCTGCTTCATCTGTAAAGTCCTCCTACCCTAATATCTAGGTCTGGTGAATGAAGCCCTGATTTGAGGACGCTATGGAGAATGAGAGCTCCTCGATGAATTCCCAGAAGACCTATCCCGACCAGCTCCAGGCCAGGTACCACGCCTGCAAGGGCAGGAGCAGCATCGCACCTGCCTCCTAAGTGCAGACCCTAAAGCAGGAGGTCTCCATCAAGGGCAGTTTTCTCAGAATTACCCTAAGCCCTTGGTCCTGGGCAGGGTTCTGGCTGGACATAGTCTGGAGTGAGGATCTGAGTGAAACCGCACCGCGAGGGCGACATTTCCCACTCAGACAAGGAATCTGGCAAGACCAGGGTCTGGCAAGTCGGCTCCGCCATTTCCACCCCTGGAGGCCCCGGCCTCGCCCCCTCGTGCCTCGCAGGCGCCCTGGTTCCAGCCAACCCCCGGCAGGGGCGCGAGCTGTCGGGAGAGGGGCAGCCGGTATCCATGACATGTCCTCTGGCGGCGGCTCCCTGGGCCTCCTGGCCTGGCTCCTGCTCCTTCAGCCCTGGCCCTGGCAGAACTGGGCGGGCAGGGCGGCGCCACTCCTTCCCTCCGCTCTCCTCTCAGAGGAGGGCCGCGAGAACCCCAAAGCGAGCCCGGCCTCAGGACCTGCGGCGGGCCCCCCACCCAATCTGTTTACGTCCTTCCCAGGTGACTCACTGCGTGGGAGGCCTGCAGGCGGAGGTTGGGCGCCAGGCTGGGGCAGGTGCTACCTGGTAGCCCGGGGAATCTGAAGCGTGGCTCGGAGCCCTGGGGGACACAGCTCCTTCTTGGCTGTCGTCGGGGCACCCCGGGGAGTCAAGTCCTGTGTCTTTGAGTGAGTTCTTCATCCTACACTATCCTTACCCCAGTGTGTGGCCGAACCCCTCTGAGAATCGTGGGAGGAGTGGACGCGGAGGAAGGGAAGTGGCCCTGGCAGGTGAGCGTGAGGGCCAAAGGCAGGCACATCTGCGGCGGCACCCTGGTCACCACCACGTGGGTGCTGACGGCAGGCCACTGCATTTCCAGGTGAGGAGCGACACGCGGGGCTGGGGGGCCTTCTGGGGCCAGGCCGGCCGCCTCAAGCACCCACTGAGTTCCATTGCCCTGGCAATTTGGCAACAACGAAACAAAACTCACAGTGAAGCCGGAGGGGGTCTCTGCATTGGTCGTCTTGCTATAGGCATGTCTAAGTTGGGCAGGCAAACCAAGTTTGAGAGTGATCAAGGAAGGGTTTTTGGTGATGGAGATGGGGTGGTAGGGGTAGTGGCCCGGGAGATTGAGGCCAGTTTGAGAAACATTGGAAATGTATGGAAAAGGCACAAAGGATGTTTCCTAGGCCTTTTCTTAGAGGCATGTCCTCTCTCCCACAGCCGCCTCCGTTACAGTGTCAAGATGGGAGATCGGAGTGTCTATAAGGAAAACACAAGTGTGGTGGTCCCTGTCGGAAGAGCTTTTGTCCACCCTAAGTTCTCAACAGTTAAAGTCGTTCAAAATGACCTTGCCCTTCTCCGGCTCCATCATCCTGTGAATTTTACCTCAAACATCCAGCCTATCTGCATCCCTCAGGAGAATTTCCAGGTGGAAGCTAGGACCAGGTGCTGGGTGACCGGATGGGGCAAAACACAAGAAGGTGGTGAGACTTCAAGGCAGGAAGCAAACTTAGGGCAGAGAGGAGGCACCCTTACCCCTGGAGTAGACAGGAAGGCTACAGAGAGGAGCAGGGAGGCAGACTGCCTGGTGGGTGGCAGGTTGTGAGGGACACGCAGTTTAGCAGCTGTCAGGGTCATGGTTCCTGGTTGTCTTGGGTGACACCAGAAACTGGGTTGAGTTCTTTTGTTGCAACACAAATATTTGATGGCAGCCATTTAGGAAGACTTTTGTCCTGGGAACTGGAGTTGCTGAGCCAGGAGAAGAAGAAACACATGGGCAACATCTCCTTCTGTGGATTTGTGGGGGCACTGTACTTGACTGGTTTGGGGGGATTTTTAGGTTCCCTGGACAGAGCCAGATGCTATAAAATTCTCCCCAGGAACACCTCAGAGGGCAATGAGTTGTCTGCCAGTCAGAGCTGCTCTTCATTGGAAGCATCTGCCTTGGTGGATAGGGTATTTTCTGTTCCTGGAGATGTAGAGAGAACCAGAAGACTCCTGTTGGTGGGGTGTGGGCCCTCCTATCCCTGGGGAGAAGCTGGATTTGGTACTTCTGGGGCATTTTCTGCCTGAGAGTCTGTGATCCTGCTCTAGACAGTAAAGATGCTTTACTGATGCACAGGACACACTCTCACTATTACTACTGATACTTAGAGTGACGATACTTGGTTGTCATTTCTCAGGTTGGCAAGGCCTTGCCTCTCCCTCTCCTGAAATATTCTTCCTGTTTCTGTCTTGGTTTTGTTTCTTACATCCTCCTCTCCTCATATCAACTTTGGGCCTTCTGTGTCAAATGAGAAGAATACTCACTGCCTTGTCTTTTTCCAGAGGGATGCTGGGTGCTTAGGGGCCTATTGTCCACTTGTGCAGATCTGATGATCTTCTCTGATAGGAGGGAAACTTACATCAGAAATTCTCCAGGAGGTGGACCAATACATCATGCGCTATGAGGAATGTAATAAGATAATAAAAAAGGCTTTGTCATCTACTACGGATATAATTAAAAAAGGGATGGTCTGTGGCTATAAAGAACAAGGAAAGGATTCTTGCCAGGTAAGTTCATGGATCCTTTCCCCATTCCCAGATGGCAGAGTCTGGGTTATTTGCTGCTTCCTCTATTCACGCCTAGTTGAGTTAAAGAGATTCATAAAGGGAAACCTGCCATGGCTGCCCTAACTTGGCCTGGTCTGTTCTTTCAAAAGGGAGGAGCACTGCCTGGGGGCACTGCTGGTGTGTGGGAAAGTTGGGGTGGGAAATGCTAATAACATATGCCGTACTAATTGAGGTCCTCCTATGTGATGCTCACCATGCCAGTGTGGACATTAACCCTCATTATCTCAGTTAAGCCACACCACAACCCTGCAACATAAACATCACACCCCTTGTATGAATGTGGAAGGCGAGATCCAAGGACGTTACTCAGGATCCTCCTGTGAGTACCAACTCCCAGACCCACGCTCTTCCCTCGGCACCAAGCTGCCTTCCTGAGGAGGGGCCATTTGAGCTGGGTCTTAGAGAATGAGTATTTGGATTTCTTGGAAAGAGGAAAACAGCATTGTAAGGAGAGGGAATAGCATGTGCAGTGGCTCAGAGGTCTGAGGGTACTTCTCATGTTAAGGGACACTTTACACATTTGGAGCAATGAGGCAGCAGATGTGGCTGAGAAGTGGGTTGGAGTCAGAATGTGTATGGCTTGGAGTGCAGTGCCAATTTTCTAGATTTTGCTCTGGCAGGACTTGGGAGGGGGCTTTGGTGAGCATAATTAGATTTGCCTTTTCGATAAATGACTCCCTGAGCTGTGTGGTGCATAGACAGAAGTCTAAATGCTTGTTTTCATCACCTAGGCCATGATAAATTGAGTCCTGAGCAGTGCCTGGAGCAAGGAGGCAAGTGAAGGTGTTTTTGAGGTTGACCTATCCATTCTTGTTGACTGACTGCTTGTAGGAGTGGGGGTGAGGGAGAGGTTCAAGAGGACACTATTTTTCTGACTGAGATGGTTGGTCAGCAGAGAAGGTGTGGGAAAGGACATGCAGAATTCTGCTTGAGTTGGAGGGTGTGGAGCTGGCTATGTAGGTTAGGAGTTGTAGAGAAACTTCAGGCTAAATACAAGGGTTTAGGGGGCTGCCATGCTGAGGTGATGTTCAAGACGTTTAACAGCCACTATGGTTTGGAAAATGAGAAGTCATCATTTTCTCAGAGCATATTAAAGTTTTCCCCTTAACTTTTTAGTTCCCATGCTCACATATTCAGTTGTCATATTCACAGAAATCTGGGCAGTGGGGCCTTTGAGGTGCTGGAGGAAGCCCTATGTGTGCCTGTCTCCTCAACACCTTGTAGTACAGTCAGTCTGCTCTGATATAGATCCTATTCAATTTCTGAAGTTCGTTTCTTTCTCTTTCTCCAGGGAGATTCTGGGGGTCCCTTGGCCTGTGAATATGATGACACATGGGTCCAGGTAGGGATTGTGAGCTGGGGCATTGGCTGTGGTCGCCGCGGATTGCCTGGAATTTATACAGAAATTGGTGTCTACAGTAAGTGGCTGATGGCAGTGGTGGCTCAGGCTACCTGTTCGTATCCAGCAGTGTTCCTCATTTTACTCCTGCATCTGCTGCGGCCCCTGGGCATCCTGGTGGCCCTGTGATCACCCCAGTCCACTCCCCTTTTGTTTCTGAGTCTTATACTAGGCCTCTCTTCCAACCTCCCACTCCTTCCCAATGCCCTTTCTGCAAATCCCAGTTGGAATCCACGGACCCTCTGGAGATCCATACAATAGAGCATGGCAGGGAGACTGGGGCCTGGAAAGTGCCCCTGCCTGGTGCTCTGGTCACCTGCCTGAGCCACGCCTGCACCAGGGCTGTGCACTGGCTGGTGGGAAGGAGGGAGTGAACCGACTGCAGCTAGAGGACCAGCTGCCCTGCCAGGTGGGCCATGGTGACTCATCAATATCTGGGGGAACATCTATCAAAGAAGAGACATCATCAATGGTGAAGCAAGCATTCAACGTGTTTCTGGTGTCAGGGCTCCCACCTGAGACTTTGTGAAACCAGCCAGCTGGGTGATTGCTCAGAGAGAGTGAAGGAGGCGTTACCAGGTCCCTGCAGAGGTGTGAGGCCTGGGACTTCCACTCTGGCTCCACTGTCTGGGGCTGGGAGAAGATCCCCTGCAGCCCAGTGTGGATCCATCTGCGAGTGGACAGCCTCTGCCACACTAGTTCTTTTGGAGCAACCCATTCTTGGCATCCCCTTCCTCAGTGCCCTAGTGACCACTTCAGGGACACTGCAAGTTGTATTGAGTCTGTTATGGAGTATGGAGTTCTCAGAAATCAACTACATAAATATTCGGAGAGTCTCCCGTGTTCTGCATGTCTACTGGCCTGGTTGTTGGGGACACTGAAGAGAACTTACCTCACATTAAACTTAGGAAGATGTTGATGATTCTTTTTAAACTAAAGAGTGAGAGGGGTAGTCTCTGCCTACCCAGTTGTGAGTTGGATGGGTGGTTTTAGACAGTTGGGTTTTGCTGCCTATGCTCTCCATGGCCATCAGCATTTCCGCATGGAGTTTTGTAGCTGAATTTGCTAGTCATTGCATCTGGGAAGAAGGAAGTGAGAGAAACTGGAAGCAAGAGAGGGATCAGGGCACTACATCCCAAACTACATCCTCCATTTTCTGCCTATTTCTGCCTCTCCTTCTCCAAACCTTGAGCACCAGATCACTTTAATCAGGCTCTATGGAAAACACAGGGCTGAGGGTTAGGGAGATGATGGGTTGGGGTGCTTGCTGATTCTGACCATTTCCCTCATTACCCTATGGGTCCCAGGGTAGTTCTTTGATATGATGCAGACCACATTATTGCTTCCAGTTTCCTCCTTTGTTTATGAAACATTGAAGTTGCCTCCTTTTAGGAGAGGATTGGTGTGTTTTGCCTATGGAAAGAAGGTGCATGTGAATATTTACATGAATAAAGATTGGTAGAGGCTGAACAGTGGCTCACACCTGTAATCCCAGCACTTTGGGAGGCTGAGGAAGGCAGATTGCTTGAGCCCAGGAGTTCGAGACCAGCCCAGACAACATTGCTAAATCCCGTCTCCACTAACAATACAAAATCAGCTGGGCATGTTGGTGCATGCCTGTAGTCCAAGCTACTCGGGAGGCTGAGGTGGGAGGATTGCTTGAACCTGGGAGGTCGAGGTTGTAGTGAGCTCAGATCACGCTGCTGCACTCCAGTCCGGGCAAGAGTGAGACTTTGTTTCAAAAAAAAAAAAAAAAAAAGGTAGAGATTGGTGGATAACTACTGCTCTGATTACTATCAGATCAGATTTGCATGTTATTGAACCTTGTATAAATGGAGCCATACAGCAAATGCTCTTTTGTATCTGGCTTGTTACCCTCCATGTATTTTTTCCATACGTGGTTTTTGAGATTCATCCATATTGGACCTAAAATTAACTGATGCAGATAACTATTGGATTTCAAGACCTACTATAAAGGTATGGTAATTAAGACAGTGTTGTATTGGCATAAGGTATTGTGCTGGAGCCCTGTTGATTCTAATAGGGATGGCACCGTATCCAGGAGGCTGAAGAAAAGAGCTGGAGGCAGTGAATGAGACATAGGGTTTATTGGAGGGACTTACATACAGGGGTGGTCCAGTGGCAGCAGGCTGGACAGGAGAACTGCTACTGTTTGTAAGAAACATACATTTTCACCTAACACCCTCCATCTAGCAACCTCCATCTAATCCAAAACAAAGGGCCTTGATCCCCCTATATGGCCTGTGTTCCAAGGGATGGGCTGGGCATTCAGATGTCTTTCATAGATAAGGAGGGAATCTGTAGGTTGGCCACTCCTGGATTCCTTAGCTCAGCACTTTGAATACACATTCTTCTTAGATGGTAGGGTCATTCTCCAGATATGCTTAAGTTAAATTATTGCTTTCAGGTGCATTTGCCATACATATATATATCAATGAAACAGGATAGAGAGTCCAGAAATAGGCCCCCACCCATATGGCCAATTTATTTCAACGAAAGTGCTGAGGTAATTATTTGGGGGAAAGGGTAAGTCTAATAAATGGTGCTGGAATGATGGCATATTCCTATGCAAAAAAAAAAAAAAAAAAAGCCTTGATCCTTACCTTGCATTGTGTAGAAAAATTAACATATTATAGAACTAAATGTAAAACCTGAATTTATAAAACTTCTCTAAGAAAGCTTGAAGAAAAATCTTTCTGATCTTTGTTAGGCACAGATTCTTTAAATATGATTCAAAAAGTATGTACCACATAAGAAAAGAATGATATATTGGATCTCAACAAAGTTAAAATCTTCTGCTCTTAGAAAGACAGTATTAAGAAAATGAAAATAAAAGCCACAGACTTGAAGAAAATAGCAACAATGTTCACTGTTAAAGAAAAAATTATTCAGTAATGTTTATTAAAGCACAACAAGGAAGACTTTATTGAGGACCAACAAAACAGGTTTAAGGATCACTACAATAGGGTCTCCCTTCCAGGGTGAGGAAGAGAGACTGGGCTCAACTTTGAATACAGTGTAGACATGTGGGAATTTATAACCAAAGAGAAGTGTGGGGATCAGTGGATGGAACATTATTAAGAAGAAATATCAGGGGTGTCTTAGTTCATTTGTGTTGCTGTAACAGAATACCACAGTCTGGGTAATTTATAAAAGAAGATTTATTTTTTACTGTTCTTGAGGCTGGAAAGTCCAATCTTAAGGTGCTGGCATCTTGTGAGGGCCTTCTTGCTGTGTTATCCTGTGGCAGAAGGCAGAAGGGTGAGAGGGAGGGAGGGAGGGAGAGAGAGAGAGAGAGAGAGAGAACTTATAACCTGAAGCCGTTTCATAATTAGCTTTAATTCTGATATAAAATTTGTTATAATGTATTGATTGGTGGAGCCCTCATGACCTAAACACTTCCCATTAGGCCCATCTTCAGACACTTTTACTTTGGGGATAAAGTTTCCAACACATGAACTTTGGGGGACACAGTGAAACCATAGTAAGGTGTAAGGGGGATCCTGGCTCATCTGACCTAACAGGATTCTTGCTTAAGATAGGCCAGAGTGATCAGACATCACCTGGGGGATGGGAGAGGATGAGGAAACTGATCAGATAATGAGGATAATCAGATAGCAAGAATGGGAGTTCTGGCTAAATGGACTTAGCAGAGTTCTTTTGGTAAAAGCAGATTTTACAAAGAAGTGCACAGACAGATCTAGGAGAAGATTTAGATGCCTGACTAAAGTTTGGTCAGGCAAATAACTTTTGTCACCATTCAAAGACTTATATATGAATGTTTATCACATCTGTATTCATAACAGCCAGGATCTGGAAACAATCCTAATGTCAACAGTTGAGTGATGAAATACTGGTCAGCGATAAAAATAATACACTTTTGTTCATTTAAAAATAAATGAAAAAGTAAGTAACATTTAAAAAGAAAAAGAATAAAAATGAACTATGAATACACAAAATGACATGGATGAATTTAAACTTCATTATGTTGGCGGGCCCGGTGGCTCAAGCCGTGTAATGCCAGCCTTTGGCGACGGACGGGATCACGAAGGTTTCAGGGAGATGGAGACATCGTGGGTACACGGTGGAAACCCCGTTCTATTAGGAAATATGAAAAACTGCGGGCGAGTGCCGGCGAGTGTAGTCCCAGGTACTGGAGGTGATGGGGTTGTAACCAGGGAGGCGGGTTGCATGGAGCTGTGATTCCGGGCCACTGCACTCAAAGCCTGACGGGAGCGAGACTCCGGTGCTCAAAGAAAAAAAAAAGGCAGAAGAACGCGAAAAAAAGGCATTAGTTGGCAAGTGGAAGGAATTGCGCTCCTCAGAGTTTTGATGAAATAGTTCCAGTTGAGCCGAACAATTGAGGGCTTTCCTGGTAGGGACTGTCCTCGCACACACGTTTGTCGCTTGTATGAGTTCTTGGGTGCAGGAGTGCTATGTCTTCAATTAATGGAGCTCTAAGGTTTCCCTGATAGGTCGGCAGTATTGTGCTTTAGAGCTGGCTTTACTGCCAGGGAGGCGGGTGGCCTGTAATCTCGAACTTTGGGGAGGGCCGGGGCAGGTGGATCAGCGGA